TCGCAGGGCAGCCTGTCCTCTTAAGGTTTCCCAACGTCATGAAACTGTCGTACTAAAGTGACCTTATCCTAACCTAACAGAGGACCCAAAACAGAAAACGGGACAGTACGTCACTTTCGCGAGCCGCTTCCATTTTCTAGTACGACGTTTCTTGGCCTTAGGTAAAGTATGCGTCAAAATGCGATGCTCTTATTAGGAGGATAGGTTGAATTGACATGTAGTTTCAAAACTAAAATTAATATTTAAAATATTATGCTTGAAATTCATAATATTTTAGTTGCTATTAATTCATAGATGGACAAGGATGACCTTAAAATACTCACACTGCAGCCTTTTTTAAGGTTGACCTCACAATACTCACACTGCAGCCTTTTCAAGGATGACCTCAGAGTCCCAGGGAGGCCAACTCCTTGAGAGCAGGAATCATGAAAACAGCTGTATAAATGAAAGAGAATGAGAAGAAAATTAGTAATATGAACCATTCCTGCACAGACACAAGTTCAGGAGAGCTGTCAGGTGAGTAGCTTAGACCTGAGGTTAACTGTGCAGCCAACTGGTTCTCGTCTGAGCTTTAGTAAGACCATTGTTGGAGGAAGAGTCTCGCCAGTTATGAAAGCAAAATATTCACGACCAGCGTTAATAAGGCTTTGTAAAGCTTAAGTAACCATGGAGAGTAATGTGAGATTTCCACCAGATGTTGGATGTGAGTATGATGCACAACAACCTTTCCGATAGCAGATCTAATTGGGATTTTTTTCTTTAAGCCTATCAACTTTCCTTTGGCCCCGTACGATAAGTGGGCCATGGTACCGTACTTGGTGGCTGGAAAGGAATGCCTACCAGCAGTCTCGAGACTCGCTAGACAAATGAACAAATCCACAAGGGCCGTGACGAGGATTCGAACCTGAGTCCGGGAGCATCCCAGACACTGCTTTAATCGACTGAGCTACGACAGGGTAGTAGCTCAAGTACAAAGTAGAAAGCTCAGTCGATTAAGGCAGTGTCTGGGATGCTCCCGGACGCAGGTTCGAATCCTCGTCACGGCCCTTGTGGATTTGTTCATTTGATGCATCACGTTAGTGTGATCTCTGTGTGTGTGTGTCGCTAGACAAAATCGCACCGTACGTGCTGTGGCTGTGCGCAGGTAAAGCAAGAGTCCAGACGTCCGCTGACCTTCCAGGTTAAACCAGGAGTCCATACAAAAATAGCACATTCACAGGAGGTTTGTAGCTTGACAAGAGACTTAACTATAACACACATTCAGAACATGCCCCCCCCCCCCTCCCCCAAAGGTCTACAAAACAGACGGAATATCTTTTATCTTGAGATACTCCGTGCCCCACCATTCTCTTGCCACTCAATGTTACACGTTAATATATATATATATATATATATATATATATATATATATTTATTCACGTTATGGTATCATCGCATGGGGCGCAGCAACCACAAACCATGAGAGAGATAAACGGATTATGTTTGAGGTCGGGTGAGAGGAGATAAGTGAGGTAAAGTTGCTACACAGGAGGGATAATATATAAGCAATATTTATGAATTATTAACTTAGCAAATTGGCTAGCGATACTAAATTTTAATTCATTTTATTCAACTGAGACAGTCTGAGGAACACTCCCACCTGGCTGTGTCTGAGACACTATGGACATATGTAGATGTTTCTCACCCAAATTTTCTTCCCTTATTACTCTCTTTGTTAGTGTTTACTGGTTGACAAGATGCTCGTGTGTTTACTCAAGGTGTCAACTGTCTGGCATCCGAACTATTGTCTGTAGAGACAACATAAACCCCTGTCTTCCCAGAGTGTGTTCAGTCATGGTCTCAGCTCAAACTATTGGTGCCAGAGACCAAACAGTGCCTGGCACTCAAACTATTATCTGGAGATGTGAGTGCCAAGGTCAGAAGGACAAAAAAATCCAACTGCATGCAACCTAATGCGAAGCACAACGAAAAAAGAAAAACAAAGGTAACTCGCGCCATTATAGGTACACAACTTGGAGAGTTAAAAGCCGTCTAGACATATACGTACAGACAGTCCGATTCAAGGATGCGTGAAGCGTCTAATGCGCATGAATTTACCGCATGGTGAAGATCGTTGCGGACTGGCCACTAGAATATGAGAATTTTTAACACAACTGAAATAACTGTTCCTTTACTCTTTTGCTAAATATGCGATTTAATGTTGGTTTTGTTGACTTTTTATCTTAATTAGCATAGTTAATGTTGTTAATTTTGTATCGGACATTTTGTGGCCAAGGTTAGGAAAAATAGGGTGGCAAGCAGGCTGAATGATTGGTATCTAAATTATAAATAGAGTCTAAACCGGAAGTCTAAATTATAAACACGTTAGGAATCAGATTTGTTTATCAAAATGAAGATAATAGTACAAGGAAGCAAAGTCTCGTCAAGCAAATGATATGAACTGGTGTACTTGGTCGAGGACAAGGCCGGAAGTGTGGACAACATGAGATATAGTCCAGGACAAGGCCAGGATGGAGACGTTTATACGTAGGAGAGTTAATATATATCGAATATAATAAGATAACAATTTTGGAAAAGCATTGTTCACCTGCATGTATTTTGTAATTAGAAAATACATGTTTACACGTCATGATGTATTTTGTATTGTATATAATACAACAAAGAGACGAGTTATATTTTAGAAGTTTGATTACTCAGTGAATACACACACACCTTCCCCTCCCTCCTCGCGGCTGAGTGGGCAGTGCTCTGGGGTCGTAGTCCTAAGGGTGCGGGTTCAATCCCCGACAGAGGCAGAAACGAATGGACAGTTTCTTTCACCCTCGTGCTCCTGTTCACCATAGCAGTAAATAGGTATGGAGGGAGTTAGAGTGCTATGGGCTGCTTCCTGGGGGTGTGTGCGTGTGTGGTAGAGATGAATATAATTAGTAGACAGAGGAAAAATATACTGGTTAGAAAGGCGGGGTCCAAGAGCTAATAGCTCGATTCTACAGATACAAATAGTAAATACACACACACACACACACGTATGGTAGCTGAGAGGACAGCGTGCAGGACTCGTAATTCTGTGGCCAGGGTTTGATTCCCGGACCAGGCAGAAACAAATGGGCAAAGTTTCTTTCACCCTGAATGCCCCTGTTACCTAGCAGTAAATAGGTACCTGGGAGTTAGACAGCTGTTACGGAGCTGCTTCCTGGGTGTGTGTGTGTGTGTGTGTGTGTGTGTGTGTGTGTGTGTGTGTGTGTGTGTGTGTGTGTGTATGTGTGAAAAAAAGTAGTTAGTAACAGTTGAGAGGCGGGCCGAAAGAGCAAAGCTCAACCCCCACAACTACAATTAGGTGAATACACAGTCGTCAATAAGCTCAATATATATTCGGGCATACAGTGACGGATCACAGATTTCGGTTATCACAAAGTGTATAACCGCACATAGGAAAGAAAAAAAGGCAGTGATATCACTATAACTTAGTGTTAAACAGAGAATAATCACCAGTACCAGGCTACGTGTGAGCGTAGGACCTTGAGGTCAATGTTTACATAATTGTATCAGGGCATACTCGGGCTACAGTGAACAGTGATACAGTAAATTAGTGAACTGTGAACAGACATAAGGATACAGTGACTGTGTGTGTTAAATACAGAACAATCACTAGCACCAATCCACTGGGACGTATTGGACAGAAAAACATCCACCTGACGGACCTGGACATAAGGACATCATATATACCGATCAACCGGGCTGTGGTGGGTATGTGGGCCTGCGGGCCGCCGCTCCAAGCAACAGCCTGGTGGACCAAACTCTCACAAGTCGAGCCTGGCCTCGGGCCGGGCTTGGGGAGTAGAAAAACTCCCAGAACCCCATCAACCAGGTATACTCGCCTAGTTGTGTGAACGGAACGGTTTGGGCTGGTGGGTGTGGGTACTGCTTCTAATTAAGTCAGTTAACTGGTGTACAGAGTGAGATAAAATATAATTAAATTCTTGTTCAGTATATAATTTATATTTAATATCTCAAAGTGGTTCATTCCGGGTAGAAGTTGACACATAAGGAAGCCCTCGACACACACACACACACACACACACACACACACACACACACACACACACACACACACACACACACACACACACACACACACACACACATTGGTAGCAGACTTTCTTATAGATATATGTTAGTGAATATAACAGATAGTGTGAGATCAATGATCTTAACAAGAATCTTCTCTATATATCTTATGATCTTCACTTGAAAAGGAAATTAACTCTCTAAAAGCTCATTTTACAGTTTATTTATAACCCAAGAGAAGGAGGGATGTTTGAAGGGTGAAGGGAGACAGGCCAAGACTGAGGAGAAAGGTGGAGAAAAGAAAGATGGAGAAGAGAGGAGAGGGGGAGAAGAGAAGAAGTTGGAGAAAGAGAGAGAGACCCGGGCACAGCCGGGTATCCCCCCTCCTAGTATATAGATTAAACAATCTGTCAGCAATTAAACAAATTAAATAATAAATTATGTTTCAACAAATATAAATAAGTTAATATTGGAATATAACATATCCGTAACAACAACAACAAATAAAACAAAAACAAATGTAACAACAGAATTCATACACAACCTAATATACATGTGTATGATTTACATTTAAGTATATAACCTATTTGTAATTTTAACAACAAATAACTTTCCATATATCATTCATACCTTGAGAAGCTTACTCAGCAAGCTGAGAGGCTTAAATAAATATGAAAGCAATAATAGTCTTAAAGTACTTGTGAGCCACCTGACTGTTGTTAAGGTATATAGCATCTTAATATACCTTATGGGTTGTTAATATATACCTATATACCTTAAGGTTGTTAAGGTATATAAGTAAGTCCACTACGGGCTCACCATAGCCCGTGCTACTTTGGAACTTTTGTTATAAGTAGCTGAATCTAAAACAACAACAACGATATGTGAAAGGGGAAATGTGAAGAGGGGTCTTGAAGTTTCTTGGAGGAGTCCTAAAAGGTCTTGGAGGGTCTTGAAGTGTCTTGAAAGGTCTTAAAAGGTCTTGGAGTGTCGACAAAGGTCTTGAAGGTTCTTGGAGGGTCTTGAAGGTTCTTGGAGGGTCTTGAAGGTTCTTGGAGGGTCTTGAAGGGTCTTGAAGGGTCTTGGAGGGTCTTGAAGTGGAGTAGGAGGGGCTACAGAGGGTTACTATGAAGGACCTTGGTGTGGGCTTTGTACCATGTGACAGAGCAATAAACAGGAGGGTGCCAAGATGCAAAGCAAGTTCCAGTGTCCAGTGTCGAAGCCTTCAGTGTCAGTTCTGGAATGTCGCTGGGTCCTCTAGACACAATTCGCTCACTGAAAGAAAAACACAATATTCGTTAATTTCCAGAAGCTGAACTGAATTCAAATCAAATGCACGCGCAGATCTTGTATATCTAGAATGTGTACTTACGGAAAATAACTTATTCGTGTTTATCTAGTGGGTGTTTTTGCTAATAACGTGACAGAAAGTTTAATATTTTTGTTACAAACTAAATATGTGTATTCCTGGACTCACATATTGTGTTGTATTTAATATAGCAATGGCACATGTCACATAATGCAATGCAATTGATACATCTACGCCTGGCGTCACATAATGTGTTTCATTTGAAATAATTATTTAATAGTTTTTGTTAGTTTATATTGAACCCCCCCCCCCCACCTCACCTGTTGGCTGGGGAACGCAGCTGTCAGTAGTGAAGCTGTACATCCGTGGGGGCACACAGCTTCTGAGCTCGTAGCTCCACGACCCGTCGTGGTCCTTGTGGCACTGGTAGAAGTTGGTGCACAGCTCCTGTCGACCCTGTGTGGAGGACGACGACCAGGAGGTTAGTGCTGGAAGTCGTGTTGACACGAGAGAAGTGAGCGCCAACTTGGTTAGAAAATTGACAACTGGTTTACTTATTTTGGTATTGAGAGAACAGATCAGATGGTTCAGTAAGCAACTTGGAAACCTAACTAAGCGGGCCTGAAGAGTGACCTCGGGGATTTGAGACATAATTATGCAATTAATTGATTTGGACATCTTCAAGAGAAAACTGGACTGTTTTCTAAGAGAAGTTCCGGATCAACCGGGCTGTGGTGGGTATGTGGGCCTGCGGGCCGCTCCAAGCAACAGCCTGGTGGACCAAACTCTCACAAGTCGAGCCTGGCCTCGGGCCGGGCTTGGGGAGAAGAAGAACTCCCAGAACCCCATCAACCAGGTATCAAGCAGGTATCAAGCAGGGCCGAACATATGGGAGAGTTAACCCGTTTGAACAAACTTAAGGGATGATAGACCACACTTGAGATATTGACTGAGCAGATTTGGAGAGATGCTTGGCTTGGCATAATTGTTGATAAACAGAGATGTGACATTTTATACCACAGAAGCCGACAGGGTACATAGGGACGATCTCCGAATGCAACACCTTAAACCTCACCTTAAACGTCTTTCTGGCGTCGCACAGGGCGAACATTTGACAGTACTGACTGACGATCCAAGCCTCCTGGGGTCTAGTCTGCTGCTCTGAGCACCTCAGCACGTTGACAGTGTCGGTGCGGACTGACAGACTCGTACTGTTGCACAGGTCTGTATCTGACAGGGAGAGAAGAAGAACAGTCAGGCGATGAGTTACAATAACGTGGCTAAAGTATGTTGACCAGACCACACACTAGAAGGTGAAGGGACGACGACGTTTCGGTCCGTCCTGGACCATTCTCAAGTCGATTGTCTTGAGAATGGTCCAGGACGGACCGAAACGTCGTCGTCCCTTCACCTTCTAGTGTGTGGTCTAGTCAACAAGAAGAACAGTCAATCGGTGAAAACGACAGAAAGTTTTAGATTTATGATTCTGGCAGGAATTTTCCCAATATTTCTTATGTTTTTCTTCACTGAAGCAGGTGGTTGAAAAATTACCTCTCCAAAAGTTCACTTTTACTCTTTTATTGGGACTGATGCCCAGTGATACGTTTCGTAAGGTCACTCCTCACATTTTCAAAAAAAAAAATTACCCTGTTGTTGTTGTTTCAGATTTAGCTACTCAGAACGAAGTGTCCATGTAGCACGGGCTATGGTGAGCCCGTAAAAATTACCGTGCTTAGCACCTGGTAATATCCTCTTATGGTGAGGTGGTTAGGTAACATGGATAATAATACGTAACATATTAATGAATGGCATTACATAGGAGATATTAATAATATTACATTGTGTATCAGTGAGAATATTCGGACTAGTTATGGAGAGGAGAAAGGAAATATGAAAAGGCATAAAAAGACGTAGGAAAATTCTAAGAATATAAAGGGAAAATTACACACACTGTTATCAAGGAAGGAAATATATACACTCAGTGTGAAAGAAGCGAATACACAAAGAATTAAAATGAGGGAAATACATTAGGGGAAGAAAGGAAATGTTCAATTTCGTTCTATTACTCATACAATGAGAAGATAAACGTGCATACGTACTTGTAGGGGCGCCGACACACTGTATGGTGGTCTTGTCGATGAGTTTGTTAGCGGCGCGACAGAAAGTATTGGAGTTGAGTACCACGCTATCGAGGATGTAGCATTGGTCGCAGAGTCTCTTGGTGGCTCTGGTGGGATAACACACTTCGTACGTCCGGCAGTCCTCGTCTTTAAGAACACACTGCGTGACTGGTCCGGCTGGTGAGGATGTGGCTGGTGCTGGTGATGTTGGTGGTGGTGATGCTGGTGCTGGTGTTGGTGGTGGTGGTGGTGGTGGTGGTGATGCTGGTGTTGGTGGTGGTGATGCTGGTGTTGGTGGTGGTGATGCTGGTGTTGGTGGTGGTGATGCTGGTGTTGGTGGTGGTGTTGGTGGTGGTGATGCTGGTGTTGGTGGTGGTGATGCTGGTGTTGGTGGTGGTGATGCTGGTGTTGGTGGTGGTGATGCTGGTGTTGGTGGTGGTGGTGGTGATGCTGGTGGTGGTGGTGGTGATGCTGGTGGTGGTGGTGGTGATGCTGGTGTTGGTGGTGGTGATGCTGGTGTTGGTGGTGGTGATGCTGGTGTTGGTGGTGGTGGTGATGCTGGTGTTGGTGGTGGTGATGCTGGTGTTGGTGGTGGTGATGCTGGTGTTGGTGGTGGTGATGCTGGTGTTGGTGGTGGTGATGCTGGTGTTGGTGGTGGTGATGCTGGTGTTGGTGGTGGAGAGGGTGATGGTGTTAGCGTAGAAGGCAGGGGTGGGCGTGGAGTTAATGTACTATTGGGTGGCACTCCCGTTCGGGTGCCACAAGGAGGCGCCGTCATGAAGGGGAAGACACACTGGTCGAGGCCGTCAGCGAAGACGGTGCCGGGGCCACACTCGAACAGGTAGGTGTTGTAGAAACCCACCTTCATCCTGTCCACACACCTGGCCAGAGGGAGACGGACGTGGTTAGGCGGACCCCAGAGGTCGTCTGGGTCCCTGGCGGACCCCAGAGATCTTCTGGGTCCCTGGTAGACCCCAGAGATCTTCTGGGTCCCTGGTGGACCCCAAAGATCGTCTGGGTCCCTGGCGGACCCCAGACGACCAGGTCTTACACGCACTCAACACACACACAAAAACACACAATAGACACAAATGCTTCATAAAACATTACAAATACAAGGACACATACATCATGCAGGTGCTCATAATACCACTGGTGCTGAGAGTTGAGCACCTATACTTACCTAGTTGTACAATATATCTGTTATTCTGCATGAGGATAGTTGTAGACGCCATTGTGTGGAAGACGATAGCCGGGTTTAACAAGAGTTCGGAGCTATGTTGAAGCAAGTGCACAAACAGAAAGAAGAATCAGAGAAATCACTGAAGAAAGTCATTAGAGAATATTAACGATAGTTGAAGGATACACTTTGAAGAAATTAGCAACGAAATGTGAGCATAAACTAGTTGAAATGAGAGAAAGGTAGAGAAACTATGTGAAAGTGTACAAAGTGTTATACATTTTCTTATACATTTATAAGAAAAAGTTGAACGAACTGGATTATATTAGTGCCTTCGTGACACATATCAGAGGAGAAAACTGAGATCACGTAAGAACTTAAGAAAATACAGGAAGAAACAAACCACAACACATATGGAACAGATAAGAAAAAAATCCTAAGGAATTCGGAGAGCAAAATAGAATCAAAATGAGAATAAGATAACATCCAAGACTGGAACTACTGATTTACTACAGTAACAAGTATTCTCAGAAAGATAACAGAGAGAGACCAATCAGAAGAAGGCACGTAGAGCACTCAGAACAAGACAGTTTTGTCTCCAAACATAAATAGTGATAAAGCCGAAGTAAATCCTATTTGACCCACTTACTGTATTTTCCCCAGGGACTCACCACACAGATACACTGACCCACTCACTGCAGTTGTTCACCACACAGATACACTCACCTGTAGAACCAGCTGCAGTTTCTAGGATGAGGGAAGACGCCTTCCTTAAAGCACTTCACCTTAGGCTGTACGATGTTGTCCGGGTAGCGGGGGTCTGTTATGGAGGGAAGGAGATTAACGTGTTGGTTCAACTTCTTATCTCTCCAGGTCATCTCTCTCTCTGGGGCTTAATGTTAACTTTAACACGAATAAATATATTCTTAAAGCTGCGAGAGCGCACGTTGGACCTTGCATTCATATATACATTTTCTCTCGGCCCAAACTTATTTTAGATTCAGAATAAATTAATAAGATTTCCTAGTGCCTTCAGGTAGAACATTTACTGGGACAGACTTGAGACTGAAGAGAACATTTACTATGATTCAAGAAACTTATTAAACTTTTAGAAACGATGCCATGGATTACAAAATATGTTTAATAATTATTAACTTTTTAGCGTTCCAATTGTTAAAGATAAATAATATCTTCGTTAAATTGTAACACGTTACGTTATAGATGAAAAATTAATAACAATGTTACAAAAAGTATAACACTAATATTAAAGATATTTTCCAGTTAACTCTGGTACTGATTTGGTGAAAATCTTGTATTAATAAACCAGAAACTTCAAACAACTACATAAAGCATTACAGCACCTGGAATTTTGTATTTATTTTTCCCGATTTATTCAAATTTATCTATAAATTAAGATAAATGAATTATTTAATGAATTACAACAACTGAACGTTGTGTAGAGGGCCCCATGACTAACCACACAGCCTAGGGATTAGTGCTGAAAACATGAATTTTCACAAAATTTTCATTATGAATCTCTGGCTCATTTCTTGTTAATTTTACTGAATCAAATGTGGCACAGGTGAATGATCCATCACAACCCAGGCAAAGACCAGAGTGAAGAATGGATGGAATTATCGCTTGTTGCTCTCCAAGTTGACGACTCGTCTTGTAACTCCAACTTTCTCTCAAGTCTTCGACATCTATAACGTCTCCAATAAAAAGGTATTTTTTTCTATATCTGAGCCTTCGTATTCTTATTAATAAGTTCCGTAGTGTAGCTTCCGTTCACTTCTTGATCTTTCTGCAATTACTTTAACTGGGTCACTTCTAATCCGGATGATTGATGTCTGGGCCCTGGTGGAAAGCCCAGACGTCATTTGCCGCCTGTGCCTGTGCATTTGCCACCTGTGCCTGTGCATTTGCCGCCTGTGCCTGTGCATTTGCCGCCTGTGCCCTCTCATGGTCACAACAAATACTAGTACAAATAAAAAATGTACAAATGTACGTCCGCTCAAAAACGACTGGGGGAACAGAGCTGATTTCCAAACGTCTGGGACTCAGCAGTGATAAGGAGACCATTCGCTGACTGGACTATTAAACTTCAACAACTGTGCCAAACTTGACTTGTCCAGCCTTCAAAGTCCGTCAGATAAAGATGCCTTTCTATCACCAGCAATCTGTATGTGTATGGGAAGCTCTCACTCGGACCATATCTTCAGGCAATGATTGCGCACCAGGCAGCGAGCCTCCAGTGTGTCCTGATTGCCTGAGGACCTCCATCATCTCTGATATTTTGGTCAATCAGATATTATGGTGTGTCGCCTCTTTCTGACTGACTGAGACAGTCACACAAACGAGGACTTAGAACGTTGTAAAAGTAATTTTAGTTACACAAGGAATAACGGCTGGCAATATATTTTCGTGATTTATACATACATGTATGCTGTATATATATTTTATGTTGTATACATGCATACAAGTAACTGTACGCATACATTTACGTTCTAGTAAAAGCACTTATATATATATATATATACAATCTAAATTATAAATGCTCATATAAATCATTGGATAATGTTTACAATGACAGATATGTTATGGTTAGTATTAGCATCATTGTACTTACCCTTGGGTCCGACGACAGCAGCCGTGGCAACCGCTGCCATGGCAACCACCAGCATCACCACCACCCATCCTGCGCTTCTCCACGGCATCATCTGTAAACCATCCCAAGCTCTGTATTATGTATACCTCTCTGGTAGCCCCAAGTACACAGTTATAGCACTAGTTTCCACCAGTTTACTAGCTTCTGTTCCAACTCTTTCGGCTTCCTGGGAGGCTTAAGGGAGCCGGTCGGCCGAGCGGACAGCACGCTAGACTTGTGATCATGTGGTCGTGGGTTCGATCCCAGGCGCCGGCGAGAAACAATGGGCAGAGTTTCTTTCACCCTATGCCCCTGTTATCTAGCAGTAAATAGGTACCTGGGTGTTAGTCAGCTGTCACGGGCTGCTTGCTGGGGGTGGAGGCCTGGTCGAGGACCGGGCCGCGGGGACACTAAAAGCCCCGAAATCATCTCAAGATAACCTTCCTGTCCTAGCATGCAGGCTTCCTCTCACCATTCCTTCCCTCCCATTCCATCCCAAACCCTTCCAGGTGCTACATATATCGTAATGGCTTGGCGCTTTTTCCCCTTTTCTTTCCCTTCATCCAGCTTGGATTTGCGATGGGTAGTGACCCAGGCCGTGGGTATAGCATGGCTCACTCTCTCCTCAACACTTGCGGCCCAGATCTTCCTCATCTTTCTCCTTCTATGGAGAAAGAGACAGAGAGGCACAATCAGATAGCAGGGAGGCAGACGAAATCTTCGAACTCCTAGGTAATGATACCTTAGGGAAGCACCCGGCGCTGCCCGGGTTACGGAGCCCACAGCGTCACTACACGCTGTCTTTATCACTGTAACCATCTTCACTACACGCTATTGTCATCAATATAACCCATTAATCTACGCTACACACAACCATCCTCATCACTATCTATCTTCACCATCTTCATCTCTAACCATCATCATTATCCGGGACACCACTGGGTCACTTATCTACAAACATCCCTATATACTTCACCACCTTCCCTACCCTTCACCACCTTCCCTACCGTTCACCATCTTCCCTACCCTTCACCATCTTCCCTACCCTTCACCATCTTCCCTACCCTTCACCATCTTCCCTTCCCTACCCTTCATATCACACACAAATCTTCAACTTGTATTATTAATCATCAAACGTGTGTTTGATAGTTGGTAAAGTTATCATCACTCGCACAATAGTTTTGTTAAGTGTGTTCAACAGTTCAAGGTGATATAATGAGGATGTTCAACTAAGCGAGAGGGATTTGTCTAGGTGCTCAGTCAGGTATTAAGGCTTCAGGGGCGGGAGAGTTAGACACAAGCCAGATGTGAGCTCTCTTGGGGCGGCCATACCAGTGACACTACTTCACAGTTGCTCACTTATCTTGCTCTCTTGCCTCTCACCTTTCCTTGGCTACGCCATCTTTTCATACATGCAAAACGCGCCGCCTGATACCAGATTTGCATTCCGGGGGGACTTGAAACACCTCCAATGACGGAACCTTTGAGCGTCAACCCGCCTTCCCGCAACTAGTAAGGTGGATACATCTACAGTAAACTAGTGGGTGCAAGTTTACTGAGGTAAAGTCTTCCCCGTTGTGAGGAGAGACCTTTGGTTGTACAGAATTCGTCGTGAGTGGTGAGGGGGAAGAAAGGGACGAGCTTACCGTTCTTGAGTGATCCTCGTCTTCAAGCGAAGTGAGGACCTGAGCCCATCCCCTTGGGTTTTATACGGGTGACTGGCCCATCTCTCTCCCCCACCCCAACCCCCTCCACTAATGCTAAATCCCGCTAGCATTTGGTCCGCTTCCAAAACGAGTCTTAGTCCCTCTGACCCCATTTCCAACTGGGTGACCTGCTTCCTCCGGCTCTCACGAAAATACCACCACAAGAACATCTATCATTCATTATCACTGCCAGAACCTCCACAGATACCCGCAGCAACTGACCAGGTCAGACTTCGTCACAACGCGATGATTTTAACTGGATAAATTTAGCTTAGCACTACTGACTGAATGATGAATAGCGAGAAGGGCAGACAGGTAACAAATTAAGTTACGAGAGTAAAAGCTAAGAGACGATCTATTGCAAACATCTTGGTGTAGCGAAGCCCGATGTATTCAAAGGCAAAGGGAACCTGAGGGAACAGTCCCCGCGCTTACACATACATTCACTGATGTCCAGACCACACACCAGAAGATGAAGAGACGACGATGTTTCGCTCCGTCCTGGACTGTAATCAAGTCGACGATTGATTACAGTCGACTTAATAACGGTCCAGGACGGACCGAAACGTCGCCGTCTCTTCATCTTCTGGTGTGTGGTTTGATCATGATATCTTCAGCCACGTTATTGTGACTCATCAGCTGTATATATTCACTGTCTTGCTGTCTGTCCGTGTACTGATACAGGTAACTGAGCAGCCCGTCCTGTCGAGCGCTTACAGCGTCACTAAAATGATGAACTATATTGTCCTAATCTAACTAGTTGCGATAGCGATGGACGATAGAGTTGACTTTTATAAGATGTAATGAGATTGAATCACATAGCTAAAATAATTTTACATAGAACTTCAATAATAGCATTTCATTATGAGTTGATATTAGAAAATAACATATTTTATATACCGGTAAATTAATTTAATACAATAAAAACATTTCATGCAACAAAATTGTATAATTTCAGTAAATTCATAGCCTCTTAAATTTTTAGTGACGTTAAATAAAATACATTATATAAAGCAGGGATAGACTATGGTAACAAATTTCAAGAGTTCAGTAAGGAGACAAATCTTCAAATGCACATAGATGTGTGGGAATCTGTTGCATTTCGACATTCTTATTATATTCTTAGTACCATTTGAGTCTAAAGTGTGAACAACGCAAGTACAGGCGAATTTCGATGATTGATAGGCGTTTTGATCCACATATGACAACTTTTAATCTGGTCCAGCAGTTTAGACCGTGGAAGAGACAGATGGAAAGAATTCGGTACGATATGAATCTTAGATTGTGTCGAAAATTTGATTTACCGTTGTATGTGATTGTTTCTGAGCATAGAGTGGTCCAATATGATCCCGTATTTAATTTCTCGTGGGCTGTCTCAGTTGTATTCACGTGAGAAGTTTGGATGAAGCCCAAGTGACTGAGGACTGGCGATGTCCTGCTGGAAAGGAGGAGAGAGAAGCAGTTCCTCCATCTCTCTCATGATGTACCTGTCTGGGTTCCTCCTCCTTCTCTGATCTTGTCCACC